ACAAATTAATAAGCCACATTTGTACACAGTTATTTAAAGAAAAACCCAAACTAATACCCCATTTTCTCCTTAAAAATTAAACTCTAGATATTCGGATATTGAACCAATTGTCTCAGTGCCACAGACACATTAGGCAATCAGAAATAAAGTTAAAAGAGCTGGTAGAAGATTTAAAAATATGAAAACATAATATGAAATCCTACAGATAAGACATTTTGTAAATGCACTTAAGAAAATGTATATTGTTTTTCTTGTGTGTATTTAAAATGTGTCATTCCCTGAAAATGTTTTATGCCAGAAAAAGTAAATCTACCTTTAATGTGAAAGAAATGATAATGTAAATTGTATAAGGTTAATATTTATATTATTACTCACATTATCTTTACTCAGTTTATTATTATGTATTTTTTTTTTTATTATTATTATTTTTTAATTATTTATTATTTATTATGTATTTCGATAATCTGGACAAACGTAAATTGTGAAATCCCTGACTGGAACTGCTGGTGGTTGTGGGAAGTCCTCATCAGTCAATGCCAGTCCGAAGTATAATTAATAAACAGAGAGGCCTGCAGCCAAAGCTGTGTCCTGGTTTTAAATTCAATGAGTCAATGTGTTTATTCAGCCCCACTGTGGGGACAAAGAAACACTTGATTTTTTTATTTATTTTTATTTATTACTGAATTTTATTTTAAATCAGTAACTCAAATCTATTTGTCCTTCCAACCTTTTTAAATGTGTCCATTTAAAAAGGTGAGGCCTTTTTAAATGGACACAGAGGGGACAGGTGAGGCCCGTCCATCCATTCACCACAAGATTACTGTGTTTTACAAATAATATAATTTGCTTTGCCATATTGAAACCACATAATGAGTAATGAGAAGACTTTCAGGGACATCCATCCATCTTTTCTTCTGTCACGTATCCATGTCCAGTCACCGGCACAGACACCCAGACCTCCTTCTCCCCAGCCATCTACTCCAGCTCTTTCAGATGGGTACTGAGCAGAGACATAATCTCTCCAGAGTGTCCTGTGTGGACATGCCTAAAACAACTCACTGAGGAGGTATCCTGAAAGAATCCATCTGATTCTCAAACCACCATATCTGGCTCTTTTTAATGTGGATGAGTAGCAGCTCTACTCTGAGCCCCTCCTAAAACAAAGAGCTACCTCCTCCTGTCTCTAAGGCTGAACTCTGTTCAGAGGAAGCTTATTCTTTCTGATGCTTGAGTCTGTGACATTATTCTTTTAGTCTCTACCTACATCTCATCACCATACCATACATGCCGATAGGAATGTATGGTATGGAATAGTAAATCATCCAGTAAATCAACAGCTTAACCTTCACAATCAGCTCTTTCGTCACCACAACAGATCAGTGCAGTGTCTTCATCACTGCCGATGAAGACACTGCACTGGGGTCAACACATCGGTCCATCTCCTCTACTCCACTCTTATTTGTATGAAAAAGTCTCTTTTAATTGTACTGCTTCACTTGATGTTACAAAGAGGATCTTCATCAAGCTTTTCCAGTGCTTAACGAAGAGCTGGGACGTCAATCGTTTACTAAAGCATGTTAATGAACTATATATGTTTATACATCAGCTTGGCTGACCTGATTTGACCAGATTTGGGTACATTAGGACCCTTGTTATAATCACGGTACATCGAAGTTCCAGGAAAAGTAGCTTTAAATAAACACAGACGTCCCGTCTCAGCTGAAAGCAACAAGAAATCAGAAAAAGATTGCATCATTCACAGAAGTGTTTTCATTGTTTCCTTTAAAAGCTATGACCGGTATCAGAGTCAGAGCATCAGCGTTGGCCTCCGACACCTCACAGTCTGCTAACAGAAGCTGCTCCCTGTGACTAAGCTCTATTGTCTGTTATTGGGAGGCTTCGTTCGTAGACGCCTAGGGAGGAACTCAAATCATGTTTCAAATCAAATCATCAGAATGTTCTCCAGGACCCTACTTTTTCTTTTCAAACATTTATCTATTGCTATTACGCACTGCGTCGTCTCACAGCATGACTATTATGTATTTGTTTTCTTTGTCTTCTTCTGTTTTACTGGCAGTTGGCAACCCATTTAATTAGAGCAGGTAATCGTACTGCCCACTGGTGGAAGAGAATGTTACTCACATTTTTAATCCACTGTTACTAAACCACATCAATAACTGCTCAATAGTAAATGCCTGTTTTAATTAACAAGTAAAAAAAAAAATCCAATGCCAAACAGAAACTTCCACAGTAAATGTATTATAATTATAAATGACAGCATCACCCCTTTAACAACTAATTTACATCTAGAGCAGCATTTTTCACAAATAAAATAAAATTAATGGCAATAGCAAATAATTCCAGTTGAATGTTTTAGGTTTGAACAAAGATATTCAATGTCTCTGAGAGGGAAAATCTGATTAGTCATGGTTAAATTGTTATTTATCATTATTATTATTATTATTAGTATTATTATTATTGTTGTTGTTGTTAATCAAAATATAGTGCCACATTAATTATTAATAAAGGAATAAATATTTACTTTAATGTCTGTTTACATTGATTACACTTCAGTGCTTTTAATCCTGTTTGGGGTTTTTAAAAAAATATTTTTTACTTTTTGTGAATTTTTCACAGTACTTACCTTTTGTATTTAAAAAAAAAAAAAAGGTCTGCATATTGTTTTTATTTTATTTTGTAAATATGCAGTCAGAAGTAGTCACATTTTATTAAATCTTAAAAGTTTTAAATGCATTTGTATGTGGGCTGTGCCAATCAATTCAGGTAAAAATATTTGAAAACTGTCCTAAAATAAATAGATGTTATAAAGTTATTAATCTGCAGTAAATGTTTCCTAAACGGATGAACCGATAAAATATAATAATTCCCAGTGAATGAATCTTTACTGATCTCCACTCTGAAAACAGACAGTTGCACAGGAGGGTTAAATTATTGATGTAAAGCACGTTTCCCGGTGGTCCTTACACGTGTCTTTTAAATCAGATAAAGTGGTCTCTGGGTCCTGGAGTTTGAGTAAGAAAACAATACAAGTGTGTGTGATTCACTGAGCGACAGCACAGAAACAATAGAGTGTAATTCATTCCAGCTTCAGTATCTGCCAGCGCCGGCTTGAACAAAGTAAGACTGATGGTGTGTTTGGGTCTGTTTGTCCCCCTGGAGCCGCTGGAGTGTGCTGAACAGGCTGGACATCCTGTGTTAGACCGAGCAGAGGAGGAAACGCCCAGGAAGGAACAGGCTCCTGGCAGAAGGCTAAAAATACAGGAGGAGGGGCCCAACATAAGGGCCGGGGGCCGTTAATTTGTCTTCTCCTCTCAAAATTAATTTCGTTTTTAGGTTACCTATCAGCCCCCCAGCAAACCTGAATTGGACAGAGGGGAGGCTCTAAGAGGAACATTTTTCTTTTCAGAGTTTATACAAGTGCAATAAAATTTCTGATGAGAAAAATATCTGTCAAATATCAGGCAAATACTTTTAATTTCTGTTTTTCTGTGATCTCTGGAATAAACACTGTATCACCATATCATCTCCAACTGGTTGTGGCAGAAAGCCTGAGCCTGAGGTTTTGTCCTATTAAAAGGGAGTTTTTCCTTCCCACTGTCGCCAAGTGCGTGCTCAAAGGTGGTCATTTGATTGTTTGAGTTTTCTCTATATAATTGTTGGGTCTCTAACTTACAATCTTAAGGTCGTTGAGGTGACTGCTGTTGTGATTTGGTCAAATATTTTTAAGAAACTTAATTCAATATTACTTTTTTATAGATATAATTACTTTCCCACAGTGTGTACTGAAGGTTTTGTGGTATAATATTTACAGATACAGATTTCCAGCTGTATTCTTTTATTCTCTTATATAGGGATGCATGCCATAGAACGCCTATAATTTTACAGAGGCATTAAACGTTCTATTTTAATTAAGTAATCAGCTTACAAGAGGTGACCAATAAGAAGAAAGTTGGTGTAAAGAGGAGGAGCTAAACTGTCACTGTTGCAGACAGTTAATGAATTGAGCCCAATGTAAGATAAATGAGGATTATTTTCAAACCGTAAACAAGCCAAGCTACTCTGGTAGAATGTGAGATTATATGTATGAGATACTCTTTGTCTCAGAGACTGCGGCTGATTTCAGTGACTGCCAGAAACTACTCACCAACCGGTGGCTAGTGGTTTTTGGCAGTCACTGAAATCAGCTACAAAGATGGTGCTGCATCAAAAACTTTTTTGTGAATACTTCAGTCGCTAGCAGATTGCTGCTGTTATATAGTTTTCATGGAAGATGCTGATGTTTTTCTACAAACACGAGCAAACTCCAGGCCAAGTGGCAGTGAAACTCAAAAAACGTAATCTCTGCAGTCAACAAATTTCAAAAGGCACAGCTTATACTTTGAAGGCAAACATTCCCAGTTTCTGGTCTGTGTCACACTTGTCACAGTTTCACTACAGCTAGTCTTTTTTTAATTAAGGTTCAGCCCTGAAGGAAGAACAATGTCTCCGTTTTTGATTGTGCACAAGTGCATGACGGCATAAAAGCAAAGAAATCAGTTTAACATCAGAGAAAAATCTGACAATTGTAGAAAATATGGACATTTTTTGTCTGATTCTGTGGATAAAACCATTAAAATGCCTTGTGTTAAGTTTTCTGTCCTCAAGTTAGAAACTGAAATCAGTTGGCATTTTAAATCAAATGACGAAAGTTAGGTCTCTCATATACAGGCCATGCAACAGCTTCCTGATTAGAAGGTCACATGTACCGCCTCCTTTGTGTTCTGCATAAGAGGATAATGGAGACAAATACAGCTGAACACTTCCTGAGAGGTAGGACATCATCATTTTGTTATCTTAAGGTTTGTTTTTTTTTTAGGTCATATTTTAAATGTGTGAAAACGCTGCCCACACAGTGAGGAAGGCAGAGCTTTTCACAAACACATCATCATGTTTAAACGAGAGTAGAGTTTGACACACACTTGAAGAGGAGCTGAACTCACATTGATTTCCAGACTGCAGAGACTGAGGGAGTCGGCATCTCTGTTGGCCTGTTTCCTCTTCTTCTGCAAAACACAATAAACAGAATAAAACACATCAGCGAGAGAGAGCAGGTGTTGATTTTAAGAAGTGCGCTTTAAATTTGTTTTTATTTTTATTAAATCAGATTGCATTCAGAAATGTGAAAGTCGAGTTTTTGTGATGGATCCCAACCGCAACTTTTTAGCTCACTGTTCTGGTTTCAGCTTGCAATTATTTGTGACTTATTTTTCAATAAATTACTATAAATTAAAATATTTTAATACAAAAAAAGCAAGCAGGCAAAAAAAATCTGTTCAGTTTAATTGTTCAAATTGTTTTTGTCTTGTTTCGATCAATCTGGAGAGGAGATTTTAGCATTTTTCATCATTAAATAGTGTCTGAAGAACTTCTCTGGGTAACCTCTAACTCAACACAGAGTCGAACAGTAACCTGTAAGTATCCTGAGAGGAAACACTTACAGCAAATGAGAAAGAATAATAATAAGAAGAAATTTCTCTGCTCAAGTCCGCTCAGATATCAACATTTCAGTAAGTTGTTACCCATCAGATAAACTCTGAGTTTAATTTACCCAGATTATAATGAATGAAAATAACATGCAAAAACATTTCAACCCTTAACAAAATATTGTGTTATATCTTTTTTTCTGCATTTGTACAGGTTAAGGCTCAGTCATGGGGGGGTCACCAGACAAGAGGAGGGAACTGTGCTCTAATTTCAAAGCTAAGCAGTTTAAGTGGTGTTAAGAGGTGAACAATACAACAAGAAGTCCCTTGTTTCCTTTCCTTTGAGAGTAGTTTAGTCTGAATGAGATTTAAATGGAATAGATGCTTTTTCCATTAAACAATGGACACAATCTTAACTCAAATCTCTGTGGATCCTGATTGGGAGTTCCTGCTTCTGTTGGAGAAAGGAGAGCATGTCCAGTAAATTCATAGATTTTCCAGGTGATGGGAAAATGATTTCAGATGGAGTTAGACTCCTTAAAAAGTGGGACAGGAAGCCTTAATGTGTGTCATGAAAGAGGCCTACAAAGATGGACGTGGTCTACCAATGGCTTGTAAGGTCC